CTGAATACTAATGTAAATAAGGTCTCTCTTTTTTATTTGTAATACATTTACAAAAATTTCAAAAAACCTGTTTTTGCTTTGTCATTATGGGGTATTGTGTGTAGATTGATGAGATTCTTTTTTAATTTAATCAATTTTAGAATATTGATGTAACGTAACAAAATGTGGAAAAGGGGAAGGGGTCTGAATACTTTCCGAATGCACTGTATCTGTGTATATATCTGTATAACATGTATATGTTTATTTATATGGGGGATACAACCATCCCAGCTCTGCAGATTTTGCTGCGAAGAGACAGAATCGTTAGATTACTTGTTTTGGTACTGCCCATATGTAGCTTGTTTTTAGTCACAGGTTCAGGAATGGCTGAAAAATTGCAACATTTACTTGGAGCCAACTCTGCAAATAGCACTGCTGGGTGATTTGAAAAGTCATAGTCAATTGATCAATAATATAATAATACTCTTAGCAAAGGTGTTTATCTTTAATTTACAATCTGTAGAAACTATGAGAATAGAAAGGTTCAGGATTTTTTGAAACATCACAGTGGAAAATTATATGGCAAATAGAAATCAAAACTGGATGGTCTTCAGAGAAACACTAGACACAATCCTGTCTCGTAGCTCTATGGACAATTCCTTCGACCTCATGGCTTGGTTTTTGCTCTGACATGCACCGTCAACTGTGGGACCTTATATTGACAGGTGTGTGTAAATCATGTCCAATCAATTGAATTTACCACAGGTGGACTCCAATCAAGTTGTAGAAACATCTCAAGGATGATCAATGGAAACAGGATGCACCTGAGCTCAATTTCGAGTCTCATAGCAAATGGTCTGAATACTTATGTAAATAAGATATTTATGTTTTTTATTTGAAAATAATTAGCAAACATTTCGAAAAAACTGTTTTCACTTTGTCATTATGGGGTACTGTGTGTAGATTAAAGAGGTTGTTTAAAAAAAATCAATTTTAGAATAAGGCTGTAACGTAACAAAATGTGGAAAAAGTCAAGGGGTTTCCGAATGCACTGTAAGCAGTATATGAAAAGCATTACTGTCACCATAGCAATGTTTCCTGCAAGTGCTTAATTTTCCATTACCTTGAGGCTAGGGTCCTCCCATAGAGTCTATTGGAGGTGCAGGAGAGAAGCAGCTCATCCTCCCTGATCACAGTCACAGTGTTGTGTCCAGGGCTGAGGGTAGCAGCAGTGGGGTCCTCTGGGTCCAGACAGGGGGTCTGGGCTGTCAGCCTCCACAATGCCAGCTCCTCAGCCTGCCTCTGGTTCTCCTCAGAGAGAGACTGCAGTTCAGCCTGCAGCGCCACCACCTGGACAGGAGGAGAGAGACAATAAAACATTTAGGATTCATTCAAAATAATTCAAAATACATTTATTCAAAATAGCCAGCTTGTATTAAGCATTCTGTAGTAGGGTTTGTGGACAACCACATGCTTAAGATATGGGGGGAAATTGTTGAAGTACACTGCTCAAAAAAATAAAGGGAACACTTAAACAACACAATGTAACTCCAAGTCAATCACACTTCTGTGAAATCAAACTGTACACTTAGGAAGCAACACTGATTGACAATACATTTCACATGCTGTTGTGCAAATGGAATAGACAACAGGTGGAAATTATAGGCAATTAGCAAGACACCCCCAATAAAGAAGTGGTTCTGCAGGTGGTGACCACAGACCACTTCTCAGTTCCTATGCTTCCTGGCTGATGTTTTGGTCACTTTTGAATGCTGGCGGTGCTTTCACTCTAGTGGTAGCATGAGACGGAGTCTACAACCCACACAAGTGGCTCAGGTAGTGCAGCTCATCCAGGATGGCACATCAATGCGAGCTGTGGCAAGAAGGTTTGCTGTGTCTGTCAGCGTAGTGTCCAGAGCATGGAGGCGCTACCAGGAGACAGGCCAGTACATCAGGAGACGTGGAGGAGGCCGTAGGAGGGCAACAACCCAGCAGCAGGACCGCTACCTCCGCCTTTGTGCAAGGAGGAGCAGGAGGAGCACTGCCAGAGCCCTGCAAAATGACCTCCAGCAGGCCACAAATGTGCATGTGTCTGCTCAAACGGTCAGAAACAGACTCCATGAGGGTGGTATGAGGGACCGATGTCCACAGGTGGGGGTTGTGCTTACAGCCCAACACCGTGCAGGACGTTTGGCATTTGCCAGAGAACACCAAGATTGGCAAATTCGCCACTGGCGCCCTGTGCTCTTCACAGATGAAAGCAGGTTCACACTGAGCACATGTGACAGACGTGACAGTCTGGAGACGCCGTGGAGAACGTTCTGCTGCCTGCAACATCCTCCAGCATGACCGGTTTGGCGGTGGGTCAGTCATGGTGTGGGGTGGTATTTCTTTGGGGGGCCGCACAGCCCTCCATGTGCTCGCCAGAGGTAGCCTGACTGCCATTAGGTACCGAGATGAGATCCTCAGACCCCTTGTGAGACCATATGCTGGTGTGGTTGGCCCTGGGTTCCTCCTAATGCAAGACAATGCTAGACCTCATGTGGCTGGAGTGTGTCAGCAGTTCCTGCAAGAGGAAGGCATTGATGCTATGGACTGGCCCGCCCGTTCCCCAGACCTGAATCCAATTGAGCACATCTGGGACATCATGTCTCGCTCCATCCACCAACGCCACGTTGCACCACAGACTGTCCAGGAGTTGGCGGATGCTTTAGTCCAGGTCTGGGAGGAGATCCCTCAGGAGACCATCCGCCACCTCATCAGGAGCATGCCCAGGCGTTGTAGGGAGGTCATACAGACACGTGGAGGCCACACACACTACTGAGCCTCATTTTTACTTGTTTTAAGGACATTACATCAATGTTGGATCAGCCTGTAGTGTGGTTTTCCACTTTAATTTTGAGGGTGACTCCAAATCCAGACCTCCATGGGTTGCTAAATTTGATTTCCATTGATAATTTTTGTGTGATTTTGTTGTCAGCACATTCAACTATGTAAAGAAAAAAGTATTTAATAAGATTATTTCATTCATTCAGATCTAGGATGTGTTGTTTAAGTGTTCCCTTTATTTTTTTGAGCAGTGTATTAATGCTAACTTACATTGATAACTACAGTTGAAGTCGGAAGTTTACAGACACCTTAGCCAAATACATTTAAACTCAGTTTTTCACAATTCCTGATGATACCATCTATTTTGTGAAGTGCACCAGTCCCTCCTGCAGCAAAGCAACCCCACAGCATGATGCTGCCACCCCCGTGTTTCACGGTTGGGATGGTGTTCTTCGGCTTGCAAGCTACCACCTTTTTCCTCCAAACATAACGATGGTTATCATGGCCAAACAGTTCTATTTTTGTTTCATCAGACCAGAGGACATTTCTCCAAAAAGTACAATCTTTGTCCCCATGTGCAGTTGCAAACCGTAGTCTGGCTTTTTTATGGCGGTTTTGGAGCAGTGGCTTCTTCCTTGCTGAGCGGCCTTTCAGGTTATGTCGATATAGGTCTCGTTTTACTGTGGATATAGATTATTTTTTACCTGTTTCCTCCAGCATCTTCACAAGGTCCTTTGCTGTTGTTCTGGGATTGATTTGCACTTTTGGCACTAAAGTACGTTAATCTCTAGGAGACAGAACGCGTCTCCTTCCTGAGCGGTATGACGGCAGCGTGGTCCCATGGTGTTTATACTTGTGTACTATTGTTTGTACAGATGAACATGGTAACTTCAGGCGTTTGGAAATTGCTCCCAAGGATGAATCAGACTTGTGGAGGTCTACAAAAAAATGTCTGAGGTCTTGGCTGATTTCTTTTGATTTTCCCATGATGTCAAGCAAAGTGGCACTGAGTTTGAAGGTATGCCTTGAAATACATCCACAGGTACACTCAAATGATGTCAATTAGCCTATCAGAAGCTTCTAAAGCCATGACATCATTTTCTGGAATTTTCCTAGCTGTTTAAAGGCACAGTCAACTTAGTGTATGTCAACTTCTGACCCACTGGAATTGTGATACAGTGAATTATAAGTGAAATAATCTGTCTGTAAACAATTGTTGGAAAAATTACTTGTGTCGTGCACAAAGTAGATGTCCTAACCGACTTGCCAAAACTATAGTTTGTTAACAAGAAATGGTGGAATGGTTGAAAAACAAGTTTTAATGACTCCAACCTAAGTGTATGTAATCTTTCGACTTCAACTGTACGTTCACAGTAAGATTTAGAGTATAGAAACCTACCTGCTTCTCTAGGCAGGTGATCTGGAGTGGAGCCAGTGGAGTAGTGTCTAGTAGAGTCTCATCTCCAGCTCCTCTCTTCCTCTCTCCTTCAGACTCTACTTCCCCTCTCCCCTCATCCCCAGCTCCTCACTTCCTCTCTCCTTCAGACTCTACTTCCCCTCTCCCCTCATCCCCAGCTCCTCTCTTCCTCTCTCCTTCAGACTCTACTTCCCCTCTCCCCTCATCCCCAGCTCCTCTCTTCCTCTCTCCTTCAGACTCTACTTCCCCCTCTCCCCTCATCCCCAGCTCCTCCTTCCCTCTCCCCTTCAGACTCTACTTCCCCTCTCCCTAAATCCCCAGCTCCTCTCTTCCTCTCTCTTCAGACTCTTATTTCCCCCTTCCCTCATCCCCGGGCTCCTCTCTTCCTCTTCCTTCAGACTCTATTTCCCCCCTTCCCCTCATCCCAGCTCCTTTTCATCCCCTCCCCCCTTTTTCTCTTCAAAACTTTTATTTCCCCTCTCCCCTAATCCCAGCCCTCTCTTCTCTCTCCTTCAGACTCTACTTCCCCTCTCCCCTCATCCCAAGCTCCTTCTTCCTTCCTCTCCCTTCGACTCTATTTCCCCCTCTCCCTAATCCCCAGCCCCTCTCTTCCTCTCTCCCTCTCTCCTTCAGACTCTACTTCCCCTCTCCCCTCATCCCCAGCTCCTCTCTTCCTCTCTCCTTCAGACTCTACTTCCCCTCTTCCCTCATCCCCAGCTCCTCTCTCCTTCAGACTCTACATTCCCTCTCCCCTCATCCCCAGCTCCTCTCTCCTTCAGACTCTACATCCCCTACCCTCATCCCCAGCTCCTCTCTCCCTCTCTCCTTCAGACTCTACTCCCCCTCTCTCCTCGTCTTTGGGTTTCCCTCCATCCTGCAGTGTGGCCTCCCGTCCCGAGTTGATGTCACTGACTTGCTCTAGCTTTCCAGAGGTGGAGATAACTTCCTGTCCTTCTCTCTGGTTCTTTCCTTTGCTTTGCTTTTCTTTCAGCCTGGTCTCCACAGGTGGCTGGTAGTGTCGTGTTACTGACAGAACTAGTTTCTCCGTCTGTGGTTGCCACATCTTGAAGTTTGAGTTTCAGCTGTTCGTTCTGCTGTTTTAGAGACCGCAGCTCTTCAGCCGGACTCTCTTCACTACCATCTTGTCTACCCTGTCCACTGGTGTACTGTTGTTTGTTGGTAGGACCAGAAGCTTCTCCAGCTCTGCAGTAAGATGTGTGTTCTCAGTCCTGGTTAGACTCAGGTCTTTCTGGGATAGCTGTAACTCTTCAGTAACTCTCCTGAAGACAAGGCTGTCCATGGTGTGTCCGTCACTAGGGCGTGTTGCTGTTGGAGCCAAGAACCCTCAGGATGTTCCATCTTCTCCTTGGAACGTGTGACAGTTAAATGGTCCGATTTGAATTTCTCTGTGTTTTCAACTGTCTCTTCACTCCTGCTTGGCTGAGCAGAAGCCTTAGAATCCACCATCTTCGCCACCTCATTTTCAACAGGATGGCTGCTCAGAGTGGTAGTGTTGTCTGTTACATAATGCGATTCTGTGACACAGTTTTTCTGTGGAGTGGTCAGCTGACCTCCCTCATCACAAAGTGCAGAGGAAGCCTGGGTAGTGTTCAGTGGTTTCATTGTTATGTCTGTACTCTCTTCTTTCCCAGAGGCAGACTCATTCTGAGTGCTATGGGTGATCTGATGTACATCTGTGTAATGGTCAGCCTGCTGACGGGTTATAGTGGCCCTACCTTCCTCTATCTCCTCCTTCTGTCTCGCTTCCTCCCTTCTCTCCCCCTCCTCTTTTTCCCACCTCCTCTCTTCCTCCTGTCTCTCCTTCTCCTCTCTGAGTGTGGCCAGTTCATTTCTACAGCGCTGCAGTTCCTGTCCCTGTCTGAGGAGGCCGCCGTCCTTCTCCTGCAGGTCTGCCAGCAGGTCCTGGATGTGTCTGCTCTGGTGGTCGAAGGCCAGGGTCAGCTGCTGGGTCTGCCTGGTCACCTGGCTCTGTAGAGCCACCAGCTTGGCCTGGGTCTGTCTGGCTCACCCAGCCTCCCTGGCACTCTCCCCACGCAGATGCTCCACCTCCTGGGCTAGCTCTGAGGCAGAGAGGCCTCCACTCTGGAGCTCCATGGTGGTTTCAGCCTGGTCTGAGGGAGATACACCTCTCAGAAGGTCTTTATTGGTCTCTCCCTGGTCTGAGGGAGATACCCCTTTCTCAGCTTCCACAGTGGTTTCACCCAGCTCAGAGGCAGATACACCCCCCTGGGCCTCCACAGTTGTCTCTGCCTCACCAATAGGTCTGGAGAGTTCTGGAGCTTTGGTCAGAGTTCCGTCTTCCTGGATCAGATCAGCTGTTGTTGCTGTTGCCTGGGAGGTTGGGATTCTCACACAGGAGATGGTGCTGGTCTGGAGATGGTAGTAGCTTGTAGTCAGGGACAACAGTGTTGTTGTTGGAGTTAGAGTTGATGTCATGGTGCAGGGTGAGATATGTCAGAGTGGTGTTTTTATCAACCATGTTCTTCACTTCAAGACGTCCACGATTCTTCAGTTCCTCCAACTCTGCCTGGAGCTCTTCAAACTTCACAGTCAGGTCAATCGTTCCTTCTATCCCTTTGTTTTTCAATCTCTTTCTCTTTCCCTCCTCCTCCTTTTCTCTCTCCTCCTGTTCTATCAAGAGCTCCGTCTTCAACTCAGCCAGCTGCTTTTTTAGCTGGAAGTTCAGCAGCATGCTTTCAGACTCCCTGTCCTCTCTCTCCCTCCTCTCCCTGTCCACTCCATCTCTCCTGACCTTTATCTCAAGTTCAGCCAGTGCCTCCTTCAACCTCCCCATCTCTGCCCTCTCCTCTAACTCCCTCCTCCTTTCCATCTCTCTGGTGGTCTCAGCCTGGGAGGCGTGTTTGCGGCTGATTTGCTTGAGCCTGGTCCTGGCCTTGGCCTCCGCTCTGCGCTGGGTCTCCAGATCCTCCAGTCTCCTTTGTAACTCATCCTTAAGGTCCTGCAGCTCTGAACGCAGCTCTCTGTTCTCCCTCTGTAGGTCTCCCTCAGCCCTGGTGGTCTGGGCTCGGGGTTTGGAGTGGCTGGACAGGGTCTCGCTCTCGTAGTCTGTATTGGAGCTAGCGGAGCTGGAGAGGTGGAGACTTTGGTCTGTTGGAGAAAGAGAGCTATGTGTGTTGAGTGTGTTTTTGTCCTTGGTGGATGTTTCCTTTCCAGGAATGCAGCCATCTACTACCGACTCTGCCTCCTCTTTTCGCCGCTTATCTTGTTTCCTGTCCTCCATTGGAGCAGCAGAGGGCTGGACTGTCTTCTGGTCTGGAAAAGATAAACCAAATGACTTATTATCATTCAAACTGGCATGTTAATTCAAGAAAATGTTAATTATTTGTTTAGAGTTCATTATTTGGATAATCAACCAAATATCATGAGCCAGGGTGTAATACCGTTGAAGGTATCAGTAACAAGACTAACAGCTTGTGCAGCTCAAAGGAAGTGAGTGACTTTGGTGTAGGAATGATTTCACTCTTTTGTTAACTCAAACACGTCCTGTTCAAATTTCTTAACCTTGAACAGACAACAGCATTGTCTATCGTCTCTAGTCATAAAGGGTAAACACCCCATTATCAACAACAGCCCTCTTTCCTCCTCCGCTCCTCCTCCTCCTCCTCACCTTCTAGTTCTTTGATGCGTCTGAGGGCCTCAGCCTGCTCATCAGTCAGCTTCTTCACCTCCTCCTCCAGTCCTCTCTCTCTCCTCCTGTTCTGCTCCAGTGTTACATTCAGCCCCTCCCTCTCACGCACCGACTCCTATAGGAGGGCAACAGGAGAGAAACAGCACACATTCACATGCATGAAGTCAATAACTATGTAATAACTATGCAACTTTTAATAACCAACCTATTCTTTAGATAACAGCAGCCAATTCTATAGCAATAACATATGGACTAAATGATTCAGTGACTTCATAACGCGGCCACTGCTTAGTTCAGGCATAATAGATTGACATGTCTAGACCAAAGGACACAAGAGTCTGTCCATCTGTAGTTGATCATTGTGTGTGTATACCGTTAGTTTCGTTTGTGTTTGGGACTCTTTCTTCTCACTCTCCTTCAGTTCCCCCTCAGTCCATTTGACTTTCTCTTTCAGAGCGTCTACATCCCTCTCCAATGCCTGCTTCTGAAGGGACACCTGGGAGAGAGATGAGGTACAGGAATATTACTCCATAATTGAGGAAGGAAGTACTCACTAAGGAAAAGTTGAGGACCGGGGAGGATTATGAGAAGATTACATATAAAAGGAAAAGGAAGTCTGGGGTCCTGCGCGCTCTGGAGCAGGTTTTCATCAAGGATCTCTCTGTACTTTGCTCCGTTCATCTTTCCCTCGATCCTGACTAGTCTCCCAGTCCCTGCCGCTAAAAAACATCCCCACAGCATGATGCTGCCACCACCATGCCTCAATGTAGGGATGGTGCCAGGTTTCCTTCAGATGTGACGCTTGGCATTCAGGCCAAAGAGTTCCATCTTGTTTTCATCAGACCAGAGAATCTGAGAGTCTTTAGGTGCCTTTTGGCAAACTCCAAGCGGGCTGTCATGTTCCTTTTACTGAGGAGTGGCTTCTGTCTGGCCACTCTACCATAAAGGCCTGATTGGTGGAGTGCTGCAGAGATGGTTGTCCTTCTGTAAGGAACACTAGAGCTCTGTCAGAGTGACCATCGGGTTCTTGGTCACCTCCCTGACCAAGGCCCTTCTCCCCCGATTACTCAGTTTGGCCGAGGGGCGGCCAGCTCTAGGAAGAGTCTTGGTGGTTCCAAACTTCTTCCATTTAAAAATGATGGAGGCCACTGTGTTCTTGGGGACCTTCAATGCTGCAGACATTTTTTGGTACCCTTCCCCAGATCTGTGCCTCGACACAATCCTGTCTCGGAGCTCTACGGACAATTCCTTTGACCTCATGGCTTGGTTTTTGATCTGACATGCACTGTCAACTGTGGGACCTTATATAGACAGGTGTGTGCCTTTCCAAATCATGTCCAATCAGTTGAATCTACCACAGGTGGACTCCAATGAAGTTGTAGAATCATCTCAAGGATGATCAATGGAAACAGGATGCACCTGAGCTCAATTTCGAGTCTCATAGCAAAGGGTCTGAATTCTTATGTAAATAAGGTATTTCAGTTGAGTTTTTTTAAAATAAATTGGCAAACATTTCTAAAAACCTGTTTTAGCTTTGTCCTTATGGGGTATTGTGTGTAGATTGATGAGATTTGTATTTATTTAATCAATTTTAGAATAAGGCTTTAATGTAACAAAATGTGGAAAAAGGGAATGGGTATGAATACTTTCCGAATGCACTGTATTTTACTGAGGTCAGGCCTGCGGTTGATTTACTAGACTGTGGTGACTGACTGGAGGAACTGAAAGTGATTCATTGTTATCATTCATGAACTAGAGGTTGAAAAGCTAGACTACTAGTAGAGTGGGAAATATTCTCAGAAAGTGTTAAGTAGCACCTGTGAGCCTGGAATAACCAAGCATCTCTTTTACTGTAATGTACAGCCCTTTTCTGAGGGGTGCAACTCAATATTAGGAAGGTGATCTTAATGTTTTGTACACTCAATGTACATTTATACATCTACATTATAAATAATTAATGTATTAAATTTTTTACGATTTAGCAGATAATGCATATAGGGGAAACACTGCGATCTGAGTCCCAAATGGCACCCTACTCCCTACATAGTGTACTAACCTATGGGCCCTGGTCAAAAGTAGTACACTATATAGGAAATGGAGTGCCGGTGCATCAAGTCTGGGACCGAAAGGCTCCTGAACAGTTAATCAAATGGCTACCTGGACTATTTACATCGAACCCCTTTATAAAAAATAAAAAATAATTTGCACTGACTCTATGCACACTCACTGGATCCACACACACTACTCTGACACTCCAACACACATACACACACTACATACGCACATACATACACACTACACACTTTCATACTCTCCACATACGCTGCTGCTACTCAGTTAATTATCTGTCCTGAATGCCTAGTCACTTTTACCCCTACCTACATGTACACTGAACAAAAATATAAACACAACACGTAATGTGTTGGTCCCATGTTTCATGAGCTGAAATAAAAGATCCCAGAAATGTTCCATACGAACACAAAAAGCTAATTTCTTTCAAATGGGTTTACATCCCTGTTAGTGAGCATTTCTCCTTTGCCAAGATAATCCATCCACCTGACAGGTGTGGCATTCAAGAAGCTGATTAAACAGCATGATCATTACACAGTTGCATCTTGTCCTGGGGACAATAAAAGGCCACTCTAAAATATGCTGTTTTGTCACACAACACAATGCCACAGATGTCTCAAATTTTGAGGGAGCGTGCAACAACCAGAGCTGTTGCCAGAGAATTTAATGTTAATTTCTCTACCATTGTTTTAGAGAATTTGGCAGGAAGTAACCGACAATTAACATTTTTATCGATGGCAATTTGAATGCACAGAGATACCGTGACGAGATCCTGAGGCCCCACTGTCGCGCCATTCATCCGCCGCTATCACCTCATGTTTTAGCATGATAATGCATGGCCCCATGTCACAAGGATCTGTACACAATTCCTGGAAGCTGAAAATGTCCCAGTTCTTGCATGGTCTGCATACTCACCAGACATGTCTCCCATTGAGCATGTTTGGGATGCTCTGGATTGAGGTGTATGACAGCGTGTTCCAGTTCCCACCAATATCCAGCAACTTCGCACAGCCATTGAAGAGGAGTGGGACAACATTTCACAGGCCACAATCAGCCTGATTTCCTCTATGCGAAGGAGATGTGTTGCGCTGCATGAGGCAAATGGTGATCACACCAGATACTGACTGGTTTCCTGGTCCACGCCCCTACCTTTTATTTAAGGTATCTGTGACCAACAAGATGCACATCTCTCATGTGATGTGAAATCATGTGAAATCCATAGATTAGGGCCTAATTTATTTATTTAAATTGACTGATTTTCTTATATGAACTTTAACTCATTAAAATCTTTTAAATTATTGCATGTTGCATTTATGTTTTTGTTCAGTGTACATATTGTATTGCCTCAACTACCCCGTACCCCTGCACATTGACTCGGGTACCGGAACTCATTTACATTTTACATTTTTAGTCATTTAGCAGACGCTCTTATCCAGAGCGACTTACAGTTAGTGAGTGCATACATTTTCATACTGGCCCCCCGTGGGAATCGAACCCACAACCCTGGCGTTGCAAGCGCCATAGTCTACCAACTGAGCTACACGGGACAGTAATCCTTGCATATAGCCTCATTACTACCCTGTACCCCTGCACATTGACTCAGTACTGATACTCCTTGTATATAGCCTCATTACTACCCCGTACCCCTGCACATTGACTCAGTACTGATACTTCTTGTATATAGCCTCATTACTACCCTGTACCCCTGCACATTGACTCAGTACTGATACTCCTTGTATATAGCCTCATTACTACCCCGTACCCCTGCACATTGACTCAGTACTGATACTTCTTGTATATAGCCTCATTACTACCCTGTACCCCTGCACATTGACTTAGTACTGATACTTCTTGTATATAGCCTCATTACTACCCTGTACCCCTGCACATTGACTCAGTACTGATACTCCTTGTATATAGCCTCATTACTACCCCGTACCCCTGCACATTGACTCAGTACTGATACTTCTTGTATATAGCCTCATTACTACCCTGTACCCCTGCACATTGACTCAGTACTGATACTCCTTGTATATAGCCTCATTACTACCCCGTACCCCTGCACATTGACTCAGTACTGATACTTCTTGTATATAGCCTCATTACTACCCTGTACCCCTGCACATTGACTCAGTACTGATACTCCTTGTATATAGCCTCATTACTACCCCGTACCCCTGCACATTGACTCAGTACTGATACTTCTTGTATATAGCCTCATTACTACCCCTGTACCCCTGCACATTGACTTAGTACTGATACTTCTTGTATATAGCCTCATTACTACCCTGTACCCCTGCACATTGACTCAGTACTGATACTCCTTGTATATAGCCTCATTACTACCCCGTACCCCTGCACATTGACTCAGTACTGATACTTCTTGTATATAGCCTCATTACTACCCTGTACCCCTGCACATTGACTTAGTACTGATACTTCTTGTATATAGCCTCATTATTGTTATTTTCATACTTTTTTTTTTTACTTGAGTTGACACTAGACTTTTTCCAGATCACCTTACACACCATCACACCTGGGTGAGTAGCTACAGAGGTGTATGAGACCCACCCCCCCCCCCCCCCCCCCCCCCCACACACACACACACACACACACACACACACACAGCCTCACCCTCTGTTTGTCCTTCTTCAGATCATCTTACACACAGTGGAGGGGTGTATGCAACCTTCAGACACACCCATCCCCCTCTCCCCCCCTCACCCTCTGGTGTTGTTTGTCCAGGTCTCTGGTGCGTTGCTGGTGCTGCAGCCAGCTGCTCTCAGTGTTCTGTCTCTGACACTTCAGTTCCTCCTGCAGCTGCTTCACACCCTGCTCCAACGACTGGGCCTGGAGAGGAGACACACAGTATAACTGAATGTGTGATAGGTGTGACTGTGTCCCTCTGCCTTGGTAGTCACACTCTTGTGTGCAGTTTGTTTGGCAGTCACTCACCCGTGTGTGTGTTTCATACAGTGTAAGTGTGTGTGTATCCAAACCCGATCGCTCTCCTGTGAGCGAGGCTCAGTTCGTCCTTGGCCCTCTGTACACTCTGTTCTCTGGTGGTCAGGTCTCTCCTGGCGTTGGCTAGAGCGTCCTGGGTCTGTCTGAACCGTTCACACTCAGCCTTCAGCTCCCCTTGTAGGGTTCACGTACGCCCCTGCAGCTCTGCTACACACCCTGACACTGGGAGAGATGAGGAGAGAGAGAATATGTTCCCTGTTTGCTTTGGCAATGAAAGTTATTTCTAAAAGGGTCTTGAATTTAATTACATGTATTTGAGTGAGAATCTTAGTGATTCATGGTAGATACATAGTGGATGTTGTTGTCATATGTTGAGAATGTAAACAGGGAAGTGACTGATTTATCAGATAGCTGTCAGATTGATTCACAGAACGACTAACACATTGATTAAGACTGTAGCTGTCTGCTCTTTCCAAAATGACAACCAAGTGATTGCAGCATTACTGTAAAGAATTGAGGAGGAAAGAGGAAGAAGGAAGTTGTTTGTCTGCCCTTTATTTAAGACCAAAATTGGCACACAAATATGTCAGTTTTACGTGAGGACCAAAATGTTGACCGCGTCGCCATACCAAAATAGTTGGAAAGAGATTTTCGATGTGCCGATTCCATGGCACATGGTTTATGAACTGATACGCAAAACTACGCTTGATTCAAAACTTTAAAGAGTTTTTAAATTATTATACAAAATTCTTGCCACAAACAGAATGTAATGTACAGTTGAAGTCGGAAGTTTAAATACACCTTAGCCAAAAACATTTAAACTCAGTTTTTCACAATTCCAGATATTAAATCCAGGTAAAAATTCACTGTCTTAGGTCAGTTAGGATCACCACTTTATTTTAAGAATGTGAAATGTCAGAATAATAGTAGAGAAAATTATTTATTTAAGCTTTTATTTCTTTCATCACATTCCCAGTGGGTCAGAAGTTTACATACACTCAATTAGTATTTGGTAGTATTGCCTTTAAATTCTTTAACTTGGGTCAAACGTTTCAGGTAGCCTTCCACAAGCTTCCCACAATAAGTTGGGCGAATTTTGGCCCATTCCTCCAGACAGAGCTGGTGTAACTGAGTCAGGTTTGTAGGCCTCCTTGCTCGCACACGCTTTTTCAGTTCTGCCCACACATTTTCTATAGAATTGAGGTCAGGGCTTTGTGATGGCCACTCCAATACCTTGACATTGTTGTCCTTAAGCCATTTTGCCACAACTTTGGAAGTATGCTTGGGGTCATTGTCCATTTGGAAGACCCATTTGCGACCAAGCTTTAACTTTCTGACTGATGTCTTGAGATGTTGCTTCAATATATCCACATCATTTTCCTTCCTCATGATGCCATCTATTTTGTGAAGTGCACCAGTCCCTCCTGCAGCAAAGCAACCCCACAGCATGATGCTGTCACCCCCGTGTTTCACGGTTGGGATGGTGTTCTTCGGCTTGCAAGAACCCCCTTTTTCCTCCAATCATAACGATGGTCATTATGGCCAAACAGTTCTATTTTTGTTTCATCAGACCAGAGGACATTTCTCCAAAAAGTACGATCTTTGTCCCCATGTGCAGTTGCAAACCGTAGTCTGGCTTTTTTATGGCGGTTTTGGAACAGTGGCTTCTTCCTTGCTGAGCGGCCTTTCAGGTTATGTCGATATAGGACTCGTTTTACTGTGGATATAGATACTTTTGTACCTGTTTCCTCCAGCATCTTCACAAGGTCCTTTGCTGTTGTTCTGGGATTGATTTGCACTTTTCGCACCAAAGTACGTTCATCTCTAGGAGACAGAACGCGTCTCCTTCCTGAGCGGTATGATGGCAGCGTGGTCCCATGGTGTTTATACTTGCGTACTATTGTTTGTACAGATGAACATGGTACCTTCAGGCGTTTGGAAATTGTTCCCAAGGATGAACCAGACTTGTGGAGGTCTACAATATTTTTTCTGAGGTCTTGGCTGATTTCTTTTGATTTTCCCATGATGTCAAGCAAAGAGGCACTGAGTTTGAAGGTAGGCCTTGAAATACGGTACATCCACAGGTACACCTCCAATTGACTCAAATGATGTCAATTAGCCTATCAGAAGCTTCTAAAGCCATGACATCATTTTCTGGAATTTTCCTAGCTGTTTAAAGGCACAGTCAACTTAGTGTATGTCAACTTCTGACCCACTGGAATTGTGATACAGTAAATTATAAGTGAAATAATCTGTCTGTAAACAATTGTTGGAAAAATTACTTGTGTCATGCACAAATTAGATGTCCTAACCGACTTGCCAAAACTATAGTCTGTTAACAAGAAATTTGTGGAGTGGTTGAAAAACGAGTTTTAATGATTCCAACCTAACTGTATGTAAACTTCCAACTTTAACTGTATATGGGGCATATAACAATCTCAGCTCTGCAGATTTTGCTGCGAAGAGACAGAATCACTAGATCATTTATTCTGGTATTGCCCCTATGTAGCTTGATTCTGGTCACAGGTTCAGGAATCGCTGAAAAATCACAACATTTATCTCAAATTAACCCTACAAATAGCACTGTTGGGAGATTTGGAATTCAATCAACATAATAATATTTTTAGTACAAATAGTTATCTTGAACTTACAAATTGTAGATACTATGCGATTAAACAGGTTCAGAATATGTGAAACAGCACAGTTGAAAAGAATATGGCCCATGGAAATCACAAGAGGGTGTTTTACGGCGATAGGTAGGATGGACTGAAAGTAGCTGAGGGGTGGGTTTAAAAGCTCATTACATTTACATTTACGTCATTTAGCAGACGCTCTTATCCAGAGCGACTTACAGTTAGTGAGTGCATACATTTTCATACTGGCCCCCCGTGGGAAACGAACCCACAACCCTGGCGTTGCATTCTTGCTATGTAACTACTGTAAAATAAAATATAAAATAAAGTGCAATGTATGTAAAATGTGTGTAGAATGTCCATGTAACAACAAAAGAGAAAGTTCATTTTTGTCCTCCAAAGAGTGGTGGTGGATGGGCCGAAAAACAACAACAAAAACACTGTAGCAACTGTTGGTGATTGTGAATGTAGGACTATCCATACAGATTGACTAAGAGGAGTCAGTCAACTGTCAAGGCACTATCAGCTCTGTTTCTCCAATGCCTTTAACTCTAGTTTGGGGTTTCACAATTCCAAGTCATATGAAATCCATTTTGAGCTCATTTCACAGTACATTTGAGCAGTCTTGTCTCCTGTGTTGAGGAACGCAGTGTCTGTACTGAAAGGCTAGTAATTAAATGTGTCTGGAGCCATACAGGATGACACAAAGCCCATACTGCAGCCAGTGTCTACCGACCAGCAGGAAAGACAATGGGGGTGCATTCAGGCTAAACACTCCCTCTGACACACTCCCTCTGCCCTTCTGTTGTCAAAGGAAGCTAGCTTTCTTTACTGGTTTAACTTTAACTGCATCCTTCCTGCTCCAAACCTGCACTCACAAAACAAATACTACCATATATTATTGCCCTACTAATGGAAACAAATACAACCCATATATTATTGGCCTACTAATGGAAACAAATACAACCCATATATTATTGCCCTACTAATGGAAACAAATACTACCATATATTATTGCCCTACTAATGGAAACAAATACAACCCATATATTATTGCCCTACTAATGGAAACAAATACAACCCATATATTATTGGCCTACTAATGGAAACAAATACAACCCATATATTATTGGCCTACTAATGGAAACAAATACTACCCATATATTATTGGCCTACTAATGGAAATAAATACTACCATATATTATTGGCCTACTAATGGAAACAAATAATACCATATATTATTGGCCTACTAATGGAAATAAATACTACCCATATATTATTGCCCTACTAATGGAAATACATACTACCCATATATTATTGCCCTAATAATGGAAACAAATAATACCATATATTATTGGCCTACTAATGGAAATAAATACTACCCATATATTATTGCCCTAGTAATGGAAACAAATACAGTGGGAAAAAAAGTATTTAGTCAGCCACCAATTGTGCAAGTTCTCCCACTTAAAAAGATGAGAGAGGCCTGTAATTTTCACCATAGGTACACGTCAACTATGACAGACAAAATGAGAAAGAAAAATCCAGAAAATCACATTGTAGGATTTTTTATGAATTTATTTGCAAATTATAGTGGAAAATAAGTATTTGGTCAATAACAAAAGTTTCTCAATACTTTGTTATATACCCTTTGTTGGCAATGACACAGGTCAAACGTTTTCTGTAAGTCTTCACAAGGTTTTCACACACTGTTGCTGGTATTTTGGCCCATTCCTCCATGCAGATCTCCTCTAGAGCATTGATGTTTTGGGGCTGTCGCTGGGCAACACGGACTTTCAACTCCCTCCAAAGATTTTCTATGGGGTTGAGATCTGGAGACTGGCTAGGCCACTCCAGGACCTTGAAATGCTTCTTACGAAGCCACTCCTTCGTTGCCCAGGCGGTGTGTTTGGGATCATTGTCATGCTGAAAGACCCAGCCACGTTTCATCTTCAATGCCCTTGCTGATGGTAGGAGGTTTTCACTCAAAATCTCACGATACATGGCCCCATTCATTCTTTCCTTTACACGGATCAGTCGTCCTGGTCCCTTTGCAGAAAAACAGCCCCAAAGCATGATGTTTCCACCCCCATGCTTCACAGTAGGTATGGTTTTCTTTGGATGCAACTCAGCATTCTTTGAGTTTTTACCAAAAAGTTATATTTTGGTTTCATCTGACCATATGACATTCTCCCAATCCTCTTCTGGATCATCCAAATGCACTCTAGCAAACTTCAGACGGGCCTGGACATGTACTGGCTTAAGCAGGGGGACACGTCTGGCACTGCAGGATTTGAGTCCCTGGCGGCGTAGTGTGTTACTGATGGTAGGCTTTGTTACTTTGGTCCCAGCTCTCTGCAGGTCATTCACTAGGTCCCCCCGTGTGGTTCTGGGATTTTTGCTCACCGTTCTTGTGATCATTTTGACCCCACGGGATGAGATCTTGCGTGGAGCCCCAGATCGAGGGAGATTATCAGTGGTTTTGTATGTCTTCCATTTCCTAATAATTGCTCCCACAGTTGATTTCTTCAAACCAAGCTGCTTACCTATTGCAGATTCAGTCTTCCCAGCCTGGTGCAGGTCTACAATTTTGTTTCTGGTGTCCTTTGACAGCTCTTTGGTCTTGGCCATAGTGGAGTTTGGAGTGTGACTGTTTGAGGTTGTGGACAGGTGTCTTTTATACTGATAACAAGTTCAAACAGGTGCCATTAATACAGGTAACGAGTGGAGGACAGAGGAGCCTCTTAAAGAAGAAGTTACAGGTCTGTGAGAGCCAGAAATCTTGCTTGTTTGTAGGTGACCAAATACTTATTTTCCACCATAATTTGCAAATAAATTCATTAAAAATCCTACAATGTGATTTTCTGGATTTCTTTTCCTCAATTTGTCTGTCATAGTTGACGTGTACCTATGATGAAAATTACATCCCTCTCTCATCTTTTTAAGTGGGAGAACTTGCACAATTGGTGGCTGACTAAATACTTTTTTTCCCCACTGTACAACCCATTTATTATTGGCCAACTAATGGAAACAAACACAACCATATATTATTGGCCTACTAATGGAAACAAATACAACCCATATATTATTGGCCTACTAATGGAAATAAATACCACCCATATATTATTGCCATACTAATTGAAACAAATACAACCCATTTATTATTGGCCAACTAATGGAAATAAATACTACCCATATATTATTGCCATACTAATGGAAACAAATACAACCCATATATTATTGGCCTACTAATGAAAACAAATACTACCCATATATTATTGCCCTACTAATGGAAACAAATACTACCCATATATTATTGCCATAGTAATGGAAACAAATACAACCCATATATTATTGCCATACTAATGGAAATAAATATAACCCATATATTATTGGCCTACTAATGGAAATAAATATAACCCATATATTATTGGCCAACTAATGGAAATAAATACTACCCATATATTATTGGCCTACTAATGGAAACAAATACTACCATATATTATTGCCCTACTAATGGAAACAAATACTACCATATATTATTGCCCTACTAATGGAAACAAATACTACCATTATTGGACTACTAAAAGAAACAAATCCTCAGATTCTTGGAAATACTAGAGAGAGATTTGAGGCCAGACATCAGAATGTATGAAATACATGATGTTGTGACATACAGTATACGATAAACCAAGGTGCTTGGAGTGGAGTCTGACATCAGAACACATGATTGATCTGTCAATAAATGATAACACAGGTGACAAAGTGACACGTACTGTCTGTCTCTCTCCTGAGGTCCTCCACCATCCCACAACCCCCAGCTTCCTGGCCTCGTCTGATGACATGGCTGGAGGGGAGAGTGGGAGAGGGAGGAGGAGTGAGTCGTCCCCTGGCGGAAGGCTTTGGGTCGTCCCGTTCCCACGGAAACACAGCCGAGGGAGTGGAGGAGTCTGATTGGCGGGACGGGCGCCGGTGGGGCGTGCACTTGTTGTTGTGGGAACATGGGCGTGGACAAGATGCCAGGGTCTGAGAACTTGAGCTGTTGCTGAAGGTGGGAGGAAAAAAGAGGGAGGGATGAAAACAAGTGCAGCTACAGCACCGGATTATAGCACCGGGTTATAGCACCGGGTTATAGCACCGGGTTATAGCACCAGGTTATAGCACTGGGTTATAGCACCGGGTTATAGCACCGGGTTATAGCACTGGGTTATAGCACCGGGTTATAGCACCGGGTTATAGCACTGGGTTATAGCACTGGGTTATAGCACCGGGTTATAGCACCGGGTTATGGCACCGGGTTATAGCACCGGGTTATAGCACTGGGTTATAGCACCGGGTTATAGCACTGGGTTATAGCACCAGGTTATAGCACCGGGTTATAGCACCGGGTTATAGCACCGGGTTATAGCACTGGGTTATAGCACCGGGTTATAGCACCGGGTTATAGCCCCGGGTTATAGCACCAGGTTATAGCACCGGGTTATAGCACCGGGTTATAGCACCAGGTTATAGCACCGGGTTATAGCACCGGGTTATAGCACCAGGTTATAGCACTGGGTTATAGCACCGGGTTATAGCACTGGGTTATAGCACCGGGTTATAGCACCAGGTTATAGCACCGGGTTATAGCACCGGGTTATAGCACCGGGTTATAGCAACAGGTTATAGCACCGGGTTATAGCACCGGGTTATAGCACCGGGTTATAGCACCGGGTTATAGCACTGGGTTATAGCACCAGGTTATAGCACCGGGTTATAGCACCGGGTTATAGCACCGGGTTATAGCACCAGGTTATAGGTCCGGGTTATAGCACCGGGTTATAGCACCGGGTTATAGCACCGGGTTATAGCACTGGGTTATAGCACCGGGTTATAGCACTGGGTTATAGCACCGGGTTATAGCACCGGGTTATAGCACCGGGCCGGGTTATAGCACTGGGTTATAGCACCGGGTTATAGCACTGGGTTATAGCACCAGGTTATAGCACCGGGTTATAGCACTGGGTTATAGCACTGGGTTATAGCACCGGGTTATAGCACTGGGTTATAGCACCAGGTTATACATTTACATTTACATTTTAGTCATTTAGCAGACGCTCTTATCCAGAGCGACTTACAGGAGCAATTAGGGTTAAGTGCCTTGCTCAGGGGCACATTTACGTCATTTAGCAGACGCTCTTATCCAGAGCGACTCACCAATTGGTGCGTTCACCCTATAGCCAGTAGCACCAGGTTATAGCACCGGGTTATAGCACCGGGTTATAGCACCGGGTTATAGCAACAGGTTATAGCACCGGGTTATAGCACCGGGTTATAGCACTGGGTTATAGCACCGGGTTATAGCACTGGGTTATAGCACCAGGTTATAGCACCGGGTTATAGCACCGGGTTATAGCACCGGGTTATAGCACTGGGTTATAGCACTGGGTTATAGCACTGGGTTATAGCACCAGGTTATAGCACCGGGTTATAACACCGGGTTATAGCACCGGGTTATAGCACTGGGTTATAGCACTGGGTTATAGCACCAGGTTATAGCACCGGGTTATAGCACTGGGTTATAGCACTGGGTTATAGCACTGGGTTATAGCACCGGGTTATAGCACCGGGTTATAGCACCGGGTTATAGCACCGGGTTATAGCACCGGGTTATAGCACTGGGTTATAGCACTGGGTTATAGCACCAGGTTATAGCACCGGGTTACAGCACCGGGTTATAGCACTGGGTTATAGCACTGGGTTATTGCACTGTGAACCCATATGGTAGGATGACAAATAAAATAAAAAATTATATATTTTTTTTAACCTTTATTTAACTAGTTCAGTTAAGAACAAATTCTTATTTACAATGACGGCCTACACCGGCCAAACCCGGACGACGCTGGGCCAATTGTGCGCCGCCCTATGGGACTCCCAATAACGGCCGGTTGTGATACAGCCTTAGACCACTGCGCCACTCGGGAGCCCAAAGAATACAGTGTGTTCAGAACATGTGTGGCTGGTTGGCTGAGAAGGCCTCAGTTTTAGGTATTGAACTCACTCTGACGTGTAGTGCTTTATTGTCCCCCTCTTCTCTCTGTCCTTGCCTGTCCTCCTGTCTCCCACCTACAGAGACACAACACAACATCCATAGTTCAGTTACTAAGCAACACTCCGACTCAGCTAAGAAAGAGCTCTCCTGACTGAGGACCAAAGGGAGAGAAGACTAGAAAGAAGATAACAAGAGAGAGAGCAAGAGAGAAAAAGGGTGGTGCAGGAGGAAATCAAGAGAGTGAGTAGAGTGTGCTGTACCATTGTGGTACCGTGGTGATGTCATACTCCAGCATGGGTTGGAAAACAACATGGAATCTCCAGAGCTGCTAGTGGTCTGTAACTTCTCTAGCTCCGCCTCCAACCTGGGAGAGAGAGAGAGAAAGAAAAAGGCAGAAGGAAGAGGAGGAGAGAGGGAGAGAAGGAGAGAGGGAGAGAAGGAGAGAAGGAGATAGGGAGAGAAAGAGGAGGATAGAGAGCGGAGAGAGGGAGAGAAGGAAAGAACGGGAGATGGCGAGGTCGAGGGAGAGCTAAGTGGCAATTCTCCTTCCTCTTCAGCTCCGCCTCTGGAAAAGGGGACCTTGAGACGAGAGAGGTGAGAGTAGGAGATGGGAGAGGAAGAGGAGAAGGAGAAAGAGACGAGCGGAAGAGGGAAGGAGTATGGAAAAGTTGCGAGTAGAGAGAGACATAGGAAACAAAGAACAGGACCTGCACACGGGTTTTTTCTGGAAAATTTTGCCGTTTTAAAGCGAATTTCCTGAATCTACAATTTGCATGGGCAAGGAAAGAGAGAGAGGGAGGAGGGGAAGGGATGATGAGGAGAGAGCGAAGAGAGGCGTAGACGAGCGATGGCAGAGGAGGCGACACCAGGAAGGCCCGAGGAGAGAAGGACGAGTCAGAGACTCGAGATTGAGGAGACGTAGTCTTGACTGAATGTATGAGAGGCATGAGATTGAGAGACTTTTCTTTCGATGGTCATGAGGCGATGCGGTGATGAGGGTGAGGAGCGTGACTGAGGGCTGGACGCGGAGAGAAGTGACGGTCGGATGAGGGCAGAGAGCTGGAAAGGCTCGTGGGATGGCGAGAAGGAGAGAGGGAGCGAAGAGGAGAGAAGGAGAGAAAGGGGGGGGGGAGAAGGGAAAGCGGGATGGAGCGGGCGAAGGAGAGGGAGAGAGGGAGAAGAGAGAACATAGGAAACAAAGAACAGGACCTGCACACAGGGTTTTTTCTGGATAAAATGTTTGCTGTTTTAAAGCGAATTTCCTGCAATTCTACACATTTTGCCATGTGGCAGAGATAAAGATTTGCGGTTTTAAAGCAAATTTCCTGCAATTCTACACATCTTGCCATGGCTTATGCTATCTGAGTAACTCAAACATAACAAAATCAATGGCCATGACAAAGATATTTCTAAATAAATCATTTTTTAAATGTTGGATTCTCCCTGTCTAGCTTTTATTTTGGTGTTGTTATTTCTGTCATTCTGAGCATCTTGGGTGGACGCCCTAATCAGGTTACGCACCCAATGCATATGGGTCCGGTAAATTTCTCAAATGTCCGGTAAATTAAAATGTTGCATGTCAAATGTCCGGTAAATTAAAATGATGCAGGTCAAATGTCCAGTAAATGTAAATGTTGCAGGTCAAATGTCCGGTAAATTAAAATGTTGCAGGTCAAATGTCCGGTAAATTAAAATGTTGCAGGTCAAATGTCCATAGCTGCTGCTACTCACCTTTTGACCTCCTTTTCGAGGGTGTGTGTGAGGGTTCGTGCCGAGCCCAGCTGTCCCTCCAGTGAACACACCTGGGCCTGTTTCACTTGGAGATCCTGAGAGAGACGCTCCTGCGCACAGACACCTGCCTGCACCTCCTCACGAGCCCCCTGTAACTCCCTCTGTACACACTGCAGCTCCCCGCACACCTCCTCATACTGAAGAGGAGAGGGAGAGGAGATGGGCAGACAGAGAGAGGAGGGGAGAGAAGAGGAGAGAGGAGAGGGAGAGGAGCGAGGAGAGGTAGAGAGGAAATGGGCAGACATAGAGAGGAGGAGAGAGGAGAGGGAGAGGAGATGGGCAGACAGAGAGAGGTTAAATATCAGCTCAATAATATCAGGAAAGCAGGAAATAACAATTTAAAGAATACCAGGAAAACACCATTTACTTCCTGACATAGAAGTAGTACACACTAGTCTGGGAGCCAGTCTGTTTCTGCTTTAACCAACAACATAGCAGTTGGCTAAAAGCAACAACAGACTGGTGTTTAGGCTACTAACGACAAACATGACTAAAGCGAAATAGTTTTCACAGCGTAAGGGTAGAATGAGAGGAAAAGCATGTTAAACGAGTATTAAACCAGCTGAGCAAAGTGCTGCATTGTTATTGTACAGCTTCATCTCTTATCTCTACAGTAATCATCACCTAACTCAGATGACAACTTTCTCTTCCTCGTGAACTGAACACAATACATTAACTTAACATAGGCCTCGTACCTTGACAGTCTGTTTGTTGAGGGAGGTCTGTGTGCTGTCCAGCTGCAGCTGTTTCTGCTGTCTCTCTCGGTTCAGCCTCTCCTGCTGGACCTGCAGCTCCTTGACCTTCTGCAGGGCCCGGCCAGGCAGGCCCACCGTCCAGTCCTCCTCTGCCCAGCTCATCTCCTCCCGATCAGGGTAGAGCTCTCAGACACCAGGGTTGGCACACTGGAGAACCAGACCCAATACGCCCAAGGAAATACACAGTGACATTCAATAAAGTAGAAGGAAAAATAGTAAGTATAGGAAGAAGAAGAAGAAGAAGAAGAAGAAGAAGAAGAAGAAGAAACATCTGAACATGCTTCAATCTATCTTGCAGCTTGCCTTAGTTTGAACCGTGTAACCAAGGCCAGATTTCCTGAGGGGAACAGAACTGACTTGGTAGCAGCTACAGTGGAGCTGTGGGGACTGGGGAGTTTGACTCTGAGACAGAGCTAGTCAGTTTCCACCAGCACATTAACACAACACAGACAGCCTTCTTCAAGGACAGGCCACTTTTCAGGAGGCATGCTGGATTCAAATCCAATTTATATGAATGTTTAGTCTTATATTTATTATTCTACACAACACTGTGTGTGCATGTTTTCACTTTTGGAGGAGCCTAAGGTTTTGACAGCTCCTCTGGCTTCCTTCATGCTAGGTAGAGGCCATAGTGCAATTCACAGTTCTGAAAATGTTTACAGTATTTAGCTACAACTGATCATAGCAAGAGTTGCTGAAATTGAATGGACCATGACGTGGCCCTTCCTTGGAAATACTGCTTGCCAATAAATAATAATGTGCTTAGGAAACAGCAGTTGCAACGTTGTCCAACAAGACAGGAAAATATTTAGAGTCAGTCTATAGCCAGGATTGTCACGCTTGTATTCAACCACCACTTGGATGAAATCAAGAATGTGGAGTAAGACAATATTGTTGTCTGTTTGATTCACTGAAACAACACACCATGCAACACGCTATGGCATTGTTTTGAATATTAAAATACTAGCTAGCTAGCTAGAATCAACGTATCTTTACTTTAACTAGAAATGTAATGACAGTAAAAAGGAGTAAGGAAGTTAGCCATATAGACAGTATTGACAATTCTACACTGGATTATATTGCCAGCTAGCTAGTTCAAGTTAGCCAAACCAGACTAACCATTAGCCAGCTAGCCTCTAACGTTAACTCGCTAGGATGAGTTATCATTTATGCCCAGATCCTGTTTATACTGATGTGAAATCCAACGCAACAACTTCAGATACACTCAGATTTGTTAATTCACAGGTGGCAGAATACAGGTTTAATGGAAATATTTCAGCAGCCGCGTGACTGGTGATGGTTTCAAAATCTGCTATCATTTCATTTCAACAATTGCATGCTAAGAAACCGCGAGTCTCATGCCGCCCGACAAGCCAACAAAAACCGATTTGACATGAGGCGTGGGTCAGTGACGTATGGTCAGAGTGGAGGGGGAAAATTTAGGAAAGTCCTCGCAGCGATGAAGGCCTCTTTGATGACACCTAGCGATGAAAGATTATACTGTATGATGAAACTATATAAATAGAGAGATCTTTTCAAGAGGGGGTCTTCAGCTTTAGTTTAATAATAATAATAATATGCCATTTAGCAGACGCTTTTATCCAAAGCGACTTACAGTCATGCGTGCATACATTTTTTTTTTTTGTGTATGGGTGGTCCCGGGGATCTAACCCACTACCTTGGCGTTACAAGCGCCGTGCTCTACCAGCTGAGCTACAGAGGACCACCAGTTTAGTCTTCGAGCACAAGTTATAACATTATCAATCATTGCAGAAATTACAATCACTGCAGAAAATATAAAGAGAACCTTCATTTTCTCTGGATATAAATTATGTCATTGTTATGTCCATATTGTAATACTAGGCCCATTGACTAGTTTGTGAAACAGATACATATTGATAAATGGTCAACATTGCCAAGGTCAAGGACAACACATTTTTGAACATTTGATATGAAAACACAAGCATCTGAAATAAATGTTCAGACTATAACGCTCATGTTCAGACTATAACGCTCATGTTCAGATTACATAACATGAGTGTGTCATCCATTATAGGGCATCTGAGTGACACTCCCCCTACCCATCCACCCGCTCCACCCGCACCACCCTACCCCCATCCACCCACCCATCCAACTCAGTCTCTCTCATTAGTAGGTTACAGCAATCTCACCCACCAGCCATCTCTCTCTCTCTCTCTCTCTCTCTCCCCCCTTTTCTCTCGTTCTCTTTCTCTCTCTCTTTCCCGCTCCCTCCTTTTCTGTCTATCTCTCTCTCTGTCTCTTTTATCTCGTTCTCTCTCTCTCTCTATATGAGACGTGGTTACTTCTCTAACCCCTCTTGGTTTCCACACCACTCAGCATTGAGGCGGCTTTACCTCATGCACAGACCTAATCTCAGATTACGCTCAAATCCAGACGACGATACCTGGAACTGCATCGGAGTTATTAGGATGAATTATTAGGACGATGATTATGATCTAAATATAATAGTTGTTGATGTTACTATTGTTGTCACTAATGAGGTAGTTTTCCTATATGTGCCTTGGTCTTCCAGGAAGAGAGGAAATACCTTGCCAATGTCATACTCAGCTCACTATAGGTCTAGGGTTCCATACAAATCTATCTGAGCTTTATCATTTCAACTTCATCAAATGCAAGTATCATTGACAAAACCCACACCATTCCTTTACCAACTAGCATCCAAGTAGAGCCTTTTCATCAGGATTCCTCGCTGAGGATATTGCTTGTGTTTTACTGTATATTTAAGGTCCAGTGTCTCTGTTTTGATTCACAGATGACATAACAAAACTGCTGGGACCCCCTGCTGCTACGCTGCTCTAGTTGGCTGTCTGCATATGTACAGACTGACACATGTCTAGCAACACCTCCATGTGTGCTTATGAGGTTAGTCCTGTTGTGAGGTAAAATACCTGTCAATCACTCTGTATATTAATACAGGATTACATTCATTGTCAATCCCGAACAAACACATATGCCTATCTGCCACGGACCTTCGAGGTAGCAAGGTGGTCAGTTAGTAGTGTGTAGGAGTGTGAAAGAGTTTAGATTTCCTTTTAACCATTTTTTCCCCCAGCTGGATACCAAAGACAACAGAAACATATTTTTTATACTGTGAAATGATTTAATTGTCTGCTTTTTGATAAGAAGAGGATTTGTGACAAACAAAGAGACTATTCAATAATTTACTCATAGAATTTTGTAAAGGTAAGCTATCAAACTTTTGTTTGACTACAGGTAAATGTACTTTTACATTGTGTCTTGAAAAGGGCAGGACATCTTAAGACAAAAATACATTGTTGCAGTGAATCTAATTACCTGTAGTTGCAGTTCTATCAGTCAAGTATCATATCCCCAGGTGTGTTTCTCTACCTAATGAAGCACTTATCTGATTAAGATTTAAGAACAAAGTTAAACAATTAAGATACATGTAACAACATTTACTTTAAGCATTTAAAAAAAATTAATATCCTGTATAATATAGCATGAATTTGCAGCATGAAAACAGTTTCAAGAATTTGTATTGGTCCCATCCCCATGGCTAATTCCTCTCTCTGCTCTCTTGCTCATTCTCTTTCCCTATCTCACTATCCCCCTCTCTTCTATTTCACTATCCCCCTCTCTTACAATAATTGCCCATCTAGAATGAATAAAGTTGATTTAATTGAATTATGTCCGTCCCTAGATGTTCCCCTGGTCAGCAGTGTTTTCTCTGGAGCCGAAGGTGCCTGGACAGCGTACGGCAGAAGAACTAGTCACCAACACTCTGATGCTGGAGCTGGGTGCCAATGTGAAGCGCACCGAACGTATCCGCCTTGAGAGGGCGACACAAGAGGGCCGGCGCCGATGTAGCTCCTCCTCTGCTGACTACAGATGGCTGGCCACTGCCCCCGCCCACCAACCCTACGAGCTGACCCCCCGAGACCTGATAGAGCTGCAGGACCTGTGTGCCAGGGTGCCACCGTCTCAGTGTGGCCCGGTCATTGTCAGGTGGGACTTTGTACCTTATCAGTGTCAGAGAGGTGTACGTACACTACACATATCCTGAATGTCACTGGTAGATAATGGAGATGGATTCATGATAATTCTCAACAGGTTCTTATGTCTTCAAAGTGAACTTGGGGTAACCTTTATCGCTCTGTCTCTCTATCAATATCAACTCCTTTTTGACCTTTGCCCTCTACCCCAGGTTCAGGAATCTGGTGACGGAGATCGAGCCGGAGGTTCACGAGGTGGCTCGTCTGTTCCGCACGGTTCTCCGTGACTGTGTGGAGGGAGAAGAGGAGAGCGAGGAGATGAGGAGGAGGTCAGCCGGCTGGGACAAACAACGCAGCAAGAGCCTCTCCTTCGTAACCTTCCGCTCCAAGTTCCGCCCCGCTCCTTTCAGGGGCGGGGGCCTGGGCGGGTCGCGCGGCAACCTGCAGGAGGAGTCGAACTGGTACGAGGAAGAGGTGGAGGAGCAGGAGGGAGCAGCGAATGTGGCGAGAGCGGCCAGGAAAGGGAGGAGTATGAGCATGCCTGATATCACCCCCATCGAACAGAGTGCACTTGGCTGAGAGGGAGGGACAACTGCTGATGTAAAGAGGGCTTTATAGAATACATCTGATTGATTGGTTGAGGAAGGGAGGAATGGGACAGAGAAAGGAAATGCGACAAAAGAGAAGGTCAAATATGTCTCTCGATGAGACGTGCAACATGAGGACAGCTCACACCTCAGCAGATTTCCACTGACTGTTTAGACAAAAGGAGGCAGTTATATCAAACATATACTAGAGTAGAAATGCAAGCTTAGCCAGCAGATATGCCATATTTCTAACATTGTTTTTATTGTGAATTACATTTTCTGAATGTGTTAACACTTGAAATGTATGTAAAATGAACTAGATTTTGAATGCATAAAATAAAACCTTATTTTTCAACAGAACCTTGAGTTTGTGCGTGGATTCCTGTGTGGGCCCAATACAATGGGTCCATTTCTACGGTTCCAGTCCTTTGGTTGTCATGGTTACTCTATAACAGTTAATTATATTAACCTTCTATAATCCTCTTACTCAGTAAAGAATTAGAGTCCTTTGCACAACTTCCCCATTGTTCTTTTTTAATATGCACTTCTTTTCAATACATTAGCAGTATTAGCTCTTTATACACTGTAGAAGTCAAGGCATTTGGCTAAAAAAGAGGGAAGAAATAGGAGTGTTTTCTTATTAACAAAGTTCTGGTGGTTAAATAATAGCCTGTACATAAACGTCTGTCCTCAGAGACGTCTGTCCTCAGAGAGAATGAGGAGATGAAGAGGACAGTCTCCAATAAAGCAGGGAGGTCCAAACTGACCAGTTTCGGAGAAGTTTGGTAGAGAAAGTCACTTCACTAGTGTCCTTTCAGCCCTTCATAGCCTGTCATAACCATGTTTATAACAGCTGTTACAACAACCTGTTAAAAGGGTTTATCTCAAATGACAATACAACGTAATGACACAGGATGCATTCCAAATGGCACCTTACTCCCTATTTAGTGCACTACTTTTGTCCAGGGCTGATAAAGTTCTGATCAAAGTAGTGCACTATACAGGAAATAGTGCCATTTGGGAAACAGCCACAGGTAACAGTATTCAAACTGACCCCAGCTGACTTGCTGGCAGGTAAACCAGGTCATCTAAACTGTTAGATCTGCAATAAGTGTTATGTAACTTGTTACAAACTGTTCGGGTCTGACTCGTCACATTGTGTTTATGATTGGGTATATGAAGGGAATGTCCTCGTCAGTTTAAACCACCTTTAACCCTCCTGTACTTCATAAAACAACAGCTAGTACCACAGGTGTCGTCACATTTCTTTGAAATTGAAAGTCCCCATTTGGCAAATAAAGAGACTTGAAAGCACCCCCCCAACAACAACTGGTTGCACTCATGCATGGCGTGAATGATAGAGGGACTTTAAACAATTCTCGCTCTCTTTAATACAAATAGGATAATAATGAGGAACAAAAACTAGAAGACATAATTACAATATGAGAAAGAAAACGTTTGGTTGATGAGTAAGCACTTCCTGTCTTACAACCAATCAATCAACACTACATGAGGGGTCAAAGAAAATCAACCAAAAACCAAAACTAGTTTGCAGAATCAAACCATTAAATAGCCATTTTTGATTAAACGTTTTATGATGATTTAGTCTCTAAAGTAACAAAGAACAGTATGACAAGTATTCTGGTCATATTATAAAGTATATTTCGATACCATATCCTTTTCATTACAGGTATTTCATTCATCTCTGTGGGGGGAGAACTACTATAATTTATTGGTCTGCTGGACCTCAAGTCCCAAACCGTCCAATAACACTCCACCAGTCCCACTGCCCTGATGCTGTGGCAAGCCCTCGTCTCAGTCCAACCTTTCCCATTGTCTTATTTCAGATCGCATGACTCCGCCTGAACTATTGGTCGACTAGTGTTTTATAGGAGTGACCAATCAGACTTATCCACCTTCCTCCTCCTCTTCTTCTCAATCCTCTTCTTTCTCTGTAGTTTCTCCCTGCTCAGGCGAGGAAGACCACGAAGACGATGAAGAACACGATGAGGACGAGGAAGATCTTGACCATGAGCCAGCGGTTGGAGGACACAGACTGAAAGTACTTGAGGATCTCTGTGTGAGCCATGTCCACGTTGAGCTGGGTGTCCTCCACGTTAGCATCAATCCTACAGAGGAGGACAGGAACACACACATAGGGCTTTAGAGAAAGATCTGGCAGTGCTTAAGCATCTCAAAGTTTCTCCTCTGTTCTTCCTTCCTCACCTCCCTCCCCTCCCCTCTCCCTCCCTTCCCTCCTCCCTCCCTCCCTTCCCTCCCCTCCTCCCTCCCCTCCCCCTCCCTCCTCCCCCTCCCTCCCTCCCTCCCTCCCCCTCCCTCCCTCCCCCTCCTCCCTCCCTCCCTCCCCCCTCCCTCCCTCCCCTCCCCTCCCTCACCTCCCTCACCTCTGTACTGTCTCCTCCTGCTCCTTCACCATGTGAGCCAGCTGCTGGAAGATGGAGCCCAGCTCTACGATGGTGCTCTCAATGTTCTGCATGGTGTCTGCACGGCTCTGGATGTACGAGTCCTACACCACAGAGAAACAACATTATAGTAACACTGACAGACACACACACAATACAAGTGATAATAAAGTGTTTGTACCTGCTCATCAATGAGCTGGAGCTGTAGAGGGTTAGACTGGTTGTCCATGTCGATGGCCACCTCACCCCCCATATTCCTGGACTCATCCTGCATCAACACTGAACTCTCTGGCAGATGAGATGGTCAGTTAGAAAGAAGAGAAAATAAAGTTCTGTGTTTGAAATTCAAAGAGACATTCGTGAAGTTATCTGGTGTAGGAATGAGAGGCTGAAGGTGAGGTAAACATGGTGTTTTATCTTACTGAAGTTGTTGGCGAGGAGAGGAGAAGAAGAGACAGGAGGCTGAGAGAACTGTTCTCTTCTGCTCTTCTGCTGCTTCAGGTTCTAGAGAGAGAGGCATCGAGAGAACGAGAGAACGAGAGAGAGAACGATAAATGTAAACTAGAATTATTAGAATTCTTGAGGTTCAATGGCAGAAAGTTCCAGTGGCCGGAAGTTCCAGTGAATCTTACCTCTGTTCTTACTTCTAGAACTGACTTGAAGTCATTGGACATAGACGCCAGTTTGGACTGCAAAAAAACAAAAAAACGTGATTGTTGATTATTAAAGCCTCAGGTTTCATATGGCTACATCATTTTACTCATCCACATCAGTTACATAATGCAGTAGAGAGGCACTGGCAGTAAGACCTGCAGGGAGACGACGATGGTGTTGGAATGGGTCTGGATGTGTCTGCCACTGGGCGCTCCACGTGAACGGATCAGATCCTGCAGCTGGGCTATCTGCTTGTTCAGGCTGTTAATGTCCTAAGAGGGGGAATAGAGGGAGACATACAGAAGAGAAGAGTCAAACAGGGAACAGCAGTGTAATAGACAGACTGCGCCCACTAAAACAGCTAGGTTTGCCTTTTGACGAGATTCCACCTGACGGACTAGTCATCGTGTTTGCCATTTATAATTCATGACGAGAGACAGCCGACTGCTTTTACGGTATCTGTGTCAATAAAATAAAAAATCTCACCTGCTTGATGATGTAGGTTAACTCCTCAATCTCCACTGCCTTGTCATCAAATAGAGATTTTCTTTTAGCCACTGAAAAGGTCAAAACAGTCATATACGCATAACTTTGACATAACAAGTTATTCAAAATTGCTATTCATGCCAAACGTTAAAACATAAATATTGACATATACTTACATATAGTGAGTTTCTCTAGTTTAGCAAACGTTTTACTCAAGTCTTCCCCTATTCTCCTGAAGGGTTAAACAGAACAGGAGATTGGCATCACAGTCATAGGACTAAACATCAAAACAGTGAAAGGAATCTGCTAACGCATGTGCATAGCTGCATGAAGGTGCAGGTACTCTACCCTGGATCTTAGAGACCTCTGCGCTATGTACATAGTCATGGAACACATACTGTTTTACCCACTTCATATGTATATACTGTATTCTAGTCAAGGCTCATCCTATATAACTACTGCTGTACACACATTTTCTATTCATATACTGTCAATACACACCATTGTATGCATACATATATATTTATATTCCATACTGTCTATACACACCATTATATACATATATATTTATATTCCGGACTCAGACCTTGCTCGTTCTGATATTTCATATTTTTTAGATGAATGTGTTTTGTATTTTTAGGTATTACTGCACTGTTGGAGCTAGGAACATAAGCATTTCACTGCACCTGCAATAACATCTGCTAAATATGTGTATGCGACCAATCAAATTTGATTTGTAAGGTAAGATGATAAGATAACAGAAAAGAGCAGCCTACATTCCAAAAAGATCACACTAAGCTACAATGTGATCAAAACACCATGGAGAAACTAACAGCAACACAACAATAACTGGCTATTTACTAAACACCATGGAGAAACTAACAGCAACACAACAATAACTGGCTATTTACTAAACTTCAATCAGACACACAGGTGTCAGCGACACCCCTGAGAAAATGGGGTTGTGTACTGTAAACAGGTTGGCTGGCTCTTTGGGTGAGATTGGTGGGAGTGGCGCTGGCAGTTGGACTCACTTGGCCATGAGGGTGAAGTCACTGCGTTGCTTGAGAGCACTGAGGGCTGGCTTGGTGGGCTGAACGCCATTCTGCAGAACGAAAGAAAGATGAAAACAGTGATCACTGTGCCAGATTACATGAGGGAAAAGGCATAGGAATCTCTGTATCTCCCATAGGTAATGTTCTGTATCTCCCGGCCTTGATCATTTGGGTATTTCAACATCACTGCCCTTGGTTCTCCCATACCTACAGTTGAAGTCTGAAGTTTACATACACTTAGGTTGGAGTCATTAAAACTTGTTTTTCAACCACTCCACAAATTTCTTGTTAACAAACTATAGTTTTGGCAAGTCGGTTAGTACATCTACTTTGTGCATGACACAAGTAATTTTTCCAACAATTGTTTACAGACAGATTATTTCACTTATAAGTTTCACAATTCCAGTGGGTCAGAAGTTTACATACACTAAGTTGACTGTGCCTTTAAACAGCTTGGAAAATTCCAGAAAATTATGTCATGGCTTTAGAAGCTTCTGATAGGCTAATTGACATCATCCGAGTCAATTGGAGGTGTACCTGTGGATGTATTTTAAGGCCTACCTTCAAACTCAGTGCCTCTTTGCTTGACATCATGGGAAAAATCAAAAGAAAACAGCCAAGACCTCAGGAAAAAAAATTGTAGACCTCCACAAGTCTGGTTCATCCTTGGGAGCAATTTCCAAATGCCTGAAGGTACCACGTTCATCTGTACAAACAACAGTACGCAAGTATAAACACCATGGGTCCACGCAGCCGTCATACCGCTCAGGAAGGAGACGCGTTCTGTCTCCTAGAAATTAACGTACTTTGGTGCAAAAAGTGCAAATCAATCCCAGAACAACAGCAAAGGACCTTGTGAAGATGCTGGAGGAAACAGGTACAAAAGTATCTATATCCACAGTAAAACCAGTCCTATATAGACATAACCTGAAAGGCCGCTCAGCAAGGAAGAAGCCACTGCTCCAAAATCGCCATAAAAAAGCCAGACTACGGTTTGCAACTGCACATCGGGACAAATATCGTACTTTTTGGAGGAATGTCCTCTGGTCTGATGAAACAAAAATAGAACTGTTTGGCCATAATGACCATCGTTATGTTTAGAGGAAAAAGGTGGTGGCTTACAAGCCTAACAACACCATCCCAACAGTGAAGCACAGGGGTGGCAGCATCATGCTGTGGGGGTGCTTTGCTGCAGGAGGGACTGGTGCACTACACAAAATAGATGGCATCATGAGGAAGGAATATTATGTGGATATTTGAAGCAACATCTCAAGACATCAGTCAGGAAGTTAAAGCTTGGTCACAAATGGGTCTTCCAAATGGACAATGACCCCAAGCATACTTCCAGAGTTGTGGCAAAATGGCTTAAGGACAACAAAGTCAAGGTGTTGGAGTGGCCATCACAAAGCCCTGACCTCAATCCTATAGAAAATGTGTGGGCAGAACTGAAAAAGCGTGTGCGAGCAAGGAGGCCTACAAACCTGACTCAGTTACACCAGCTCCGTCAGGAGGAATGGGCCAAAATTCACCCAACTTATTATGGGAAGCTTGTGGAAGGCTACCTGAAACGTTTGACCCAAGTTTAAATTGTTTAAGGCAATGCTACCAAATACTAATTGAGTGTATGTAAACTTCTGACCCACTGGGAATGTGATTAAATAAATAAAAGCTGAAATAAATCAGTCTCTCTACTATTATTCTGACATTTCACATTCTTAAAATAAAGTGGTGATCCTAACACAAGGGAAGGCATTTTTACTAGGATTAAATGTCAGGAATTGTGAAAAACTGAGTTTAAATGTATTTTGCTAAGGTGTATGTAAACTTCCGACTTCAACTGTACATACCTGTCTGGTCTGTAGGGATTTGCAAGCGGACTGAAACTCGTTGGTGCGATCCCTGCACGTCATCCTGGCGCAGGTATCTCACCAGCCTGCACTGGGCACGCCAAGTAGGAAGGGTCTGAACGATCTTGGTAGTGTCCTGGAGACGGTCCGTGCTCAGTGGAAACAGTCGCTACACCTCCTGACGTCAACTCCTAACAGCGAGGCGTCGATCCGTGTCCATTGATGTTCAAATATACATTCTCAATGTATCTGTAATGATAGGAGGAACCGAATCAAATTAATTCAAGTAAAGTGACATTTTGCTATGCGGTCACCGGTGCCCCGGGCTGCCTAACTAACTTAACTATCTAGCTAGCTACCAATACTACGTCTCGGTTTCCCCCAAAAATCTGAGCTTGGTCAATTTGTTTAGCAATCCAGCTAGCCACCCCATAATATGTAGCTAGCTAGTAGCAAGTAAGCTAACGTTAGCATAGCCAACATTACCACGGCAACACAAACAAATGTTACCAGACACTAGCATGACAGTGCTAAAATATAGAATTATTGCAAACCTTAGCTAGATATAGCTGTTGTCATTTACATGTTCTTAGACACTGAGCTATTTAGTTACGCCAAGCTAACGTTATTTAAAGAGTCGACTCCATCACAGCTGATGTTTTCCTAACCCTAGCGACGTGGCTTGAATGTTTTGTTTGAAGAACGAAAACTTTCGCTCATAACCACTCAAATCAAATGTATATATCTAGCTTTACTCGATAAATGTGATCAGTTTCAACTTACTATTAGCAAAATTCCACAAGACTTCACAGATCTTTCGATGTTATTAGCAAGCTGAGTCTGGTGGAATAAAAGTTTGAATCCGGGTCATTTCCGGATGCCGACGTCACTGCCACGTCCACCACTGCTTGAGCACCAGCCCAAATACACCACCAGATGTCGCCATATGTTATGTTTTCTAACAGATATGTCAACTAGTGCAGCATTCAAGCCAACTGGACTATAGTCATCTTCTTCCACGGCAGTTGGCATCCAATACATGTTGCATTACTGCCACCAACTAGACTGGGCTATAAATCCCTTATACTTTGCGTGGAAAAAGGGAAACTGATTTTTTAAAAACAATTATAATTATAAACAAATACCCTACCATCTAACCCTACACTCATTAAAAACTCACCACCCAATTCCACTACTTAAACCTATCTAGTCCTACCTCAGGCCAATGGCCTGGAAGGCCTGGAAACAATAACTCAACACCCTGTTACTCTTCTGATGTCAAGTCTCATACACCCAAATACTTCTCTGCAGCTGCCACCACAACCTTTATTTTCCTCGACTTATGTTTCATCCCTGAGGTACAGTTGATAACCATTGCTATGAACGCTAAAAAGCCAATCTTACTGATGCATATATCACTCGTTGGCCTATCCCTCTACTGGCATAGATCTACTACTCACACGAATCCTCTCAGGATCCATCCCCCTTGACCCATCTTCCTTTACTTTGTCACTGCCTCAGCATACGACACCCTCTGTACTACTTTGCACTAACCCTGGTAACCTCAACCTGCCTCTCTTGCACCGGACACTTCTGATCCCCAGCCCCATGGGCCCCCCTACAATTAACACATACAGCTTCTTTCCCCAATACTACACATTCCTTTGTCTCATGCCCTTCTGCACACTTCTCACACCTAGGAACCTCCCTCCTACACACTGCTGCCACATGTACAAAAGCTTGACACCTGTAACAACATAATGGATTCGGGGAAAAAACTTGTAGAGGATAACTGAAATATCCTAACATCGCTTTGTGGGGCAAAGACTCAACATCAAAACTCAAAAGAACGGACAATGACTCTTCTGTTTCACCACTCCAGCCACCCTTTCTGCGTCGCACCAAACGACGAGCATCACAAACACCGGGAATCTTCCCATTCAGTTTGTCCACTTTCACATTTACAGCTACCCCAGAAATCACTCCTTTCAATGGCGCCTTTTCTTGAGAGCAAAGCAAGTCACAGCTCTTGTCCCCATTCGTGTGGCGCAGAGTGTCTGCTCCCTTTGACCAGCAGAAACACAAACAATTATCACCAGACCACTTCTGGTTACCTTTACCAATACCACAGCACCCAACTCTGTTTTCACCCACCCTGAAACCACATACAGTGTATTTGTAAAGTATTAAGGCCCCTTGACTTTTTCCACATTTTGTTACGTTACAGCCTTATTCTAAAATGGATTAAATTATTTATTTTTCCTCAGCAATATACACACAATACCCCATAATGCAAAGCAAAAACAGGTTTTTAGAAATTTTTGCACATTTATAAAAAATGAAAAACAGAAATACCTTATTTACAGAAGTATTCAGACCCTTTGCTATGAAACTCGAAATTGAGCTCAGGTGCATTCTGTTACCATTGTTCATCCTTGAGATGTTTCTACAACTTGATTGGAGTCCACCTGTGGTAAATTCAACCGATTCAAGCTCACCCTCTTCCTCCCTCACTCTCTTCTACCTCCTCCGACTCTCTTTTTCCCTCCATTCCTCCTCCGTATTCCAAGTATATGTCTCTTTATGATAATATTGCACTTTTACTAACATACATCTGATTCTGACCCTCTCAAGGGACTTGACTGTATTCTATTGAAACCTGCTTCATAAGTAAGGGAAAAAATTTCAGTATTGAAAATTAAATGTTATGAACCAGTTAAATGTAACACTATGGTGAAAGGAATGATATGCGTAGATAATGTGGCCCTTACAGAGTATAGTGGAGATAACAGTGAAAACCAAGCTCCAGAATGTGAGAGGGAGACAAACAGGGGGAGCGAGACAGAGGGAAGGCGATATAGCTACACAGATGAATACAGGTAGAGAGATAACATACAGGACTTGCTCAGATCTCATTCTATACCTACTGGCTCCCACATCTTTACCTCAACAAGAGCTGGCATGTTCAGACCACAACTATGTCTTCACCTATCTTCTCCCACTCACCTCTCCTATACCCTCTCCTCTCTTTCCCCCTTAATCTCTCTTCCTATAACCTAGTCTCTCTCCGCCTGCCTCAAACCCCTTCTGTGATAAAAGCCTATGTTCTCTGATGCTGCAGGGGAAAAACTAAACAATATCTGTGCATTTAAGGACATTAATATTGTAAATACATTATACAATGTCTCAAATTGATGTCATAA